TCCCAGTACTTTGCATTTTCAATTCAAGGCAGAGAGCCAGCCTGGAATCGGTGTGGTTCAGTAGCCTAGAAGTTTGGTCCACTTGGTTGAATGAATCCTTGGGCTGGAGAAGAATGGGGGGATTTTCTCTCTGCCTTCCACTTTGCAGCGGGGGAAACGGAGGCCCAGAACAGGAACCTGCCCTACTGAGATGGCAGAAGTTCTGTGTTCCAATTCCATGGCACCCTGTAGTATTAAATTTAAAAATTGGCACTGGGGGGGATGGGGGACCAGCCCCCACCGCTAGTACTCTCTACGAGTTCAGTAATACTACTTCTGGGTTCAGTAATGCACAATTGTACGGTTGAAATATATAAGTATTATATTAAAGTCATCGAGAGCATGAGAGATATTATAATAATACAGTCAGACACGTTACATGGCAACTTTGCTCACCTCAGCCCAGTTTAGTGGTCCACGTGGAGAGAGGGGGAAGGGAAGGAGGGAAAGGGAACAAGGGAGAGGGGGAAGAGAGTCAGGGAGGTCTGAGTCGAGAGCTCTATATTGCTGACCCATGCCTATATATCTTTTTTGGGGCAAGCCAGCCCACTAATTACAGGTAGAGACAGACATACATCACAGGGAGGAGCTGCACTATAGGTTACACAGCAATAAGAGGGTGGTCTAGGGGGTGGTCTCTGGTTCTCCATAAGAATCATTATCAGTAGGGTGCAAACCCCTCCTACAGGAGCCTGTCTAATGGCCTTAGGCTCCAGAGAGAGGTAACCCATTGTCTCTAGCAGCAGGGAGTAGGGCTAGTGCAGCCTGGCAACTGATCGCCCTCAGGGGGGGAAGTGGCTACGCACCTGACCTCCCCCCACAGCACCCCAGTTCCACCCCCTCGGGTTTTCCTCCTATGCTCCTAACCTCCGTGCTGTGCGCATGCCGGCCTTGCTAGAAGAGAGGACCTTGTGAGAGAGGACCAAGTAGCAGCACAGCCTGGGGTCCAGGAGACTAAGATGGGGTGCAGGGAGGCCAGGGAAGGCCAGCGTGAGCACCAACAACCCAAACCAAATTCAATTCCATGAGTCAAACGGAGACTAAGATGGGGTGCAGGGAGGCCAGGGAAGGCCAGCGTGAGCACCAACAACCCAAACCAAATTCAATTCCTTGAGTCAATGCCGACTCTCGACTTTCGACTTTCGGAGAGACTGCAACTGCTGATGGGAGTAGAAAGCCTGGTTCTTAATCCCCTGATGGGTGTTTTGAACTGCGAGCATCTGGTCCCAGCCCAGCTCATCCCCATGCCCCACCAGGGCTGAGCACGGACAGCACACACGAGATAAACAGAAATTGCTTTTCTCACCTACTGAGGTCATTCTGCCTGCTGGGAGACATCAAACCAGGACCTGACTCCGGCCTTTCGGCCCTCTTGTTCGTCCTTCCTTTGCCTATCCTCAGCCAGCATTGCCTCCCCCAGGAAGCCTCCCTGCCCTGACCCGCAGCAGAACCCATGGCTTGCCGGCTTCTCTGGTTTCTGTCTACATTCCTGGTTGTGTGCCGCCTCCCCCGGGGAGGGAAGAGCTGCCCATGGAATCAACCAGAAAGTCACTGAAACCAGATCTTTGACATGAATTTGGGATTTCTCTTTGGGCCTCTCTCCAGACCAGCCCCTTCCAGTCCTGTCTCCCTTCACCCTCATTCCAGCCCCAGATGGGACTGACACTCCCCCACATTCCTCCACTGCTGCTGGAGCCCTCCCCCTTCCAGTCGCCCCTGCTTCCACCCCCCACATTCTCTCATTCTCTCTGGACCTGCCACTCCAGTGGAAAAACCAGCCCTCATCCCTTTTCCGGCTCCGTCCTGGGATTGGACATGCTGCTCATTCCTGTTTGGGGTGGCCAAAGAGATAACTGCCCTGGTGTCCGTCTGTCGCCCCAGGACCCCTGGAGCTGTTTCAGACGGACCCGTGCCCTGCTGCCTGGCCCTAGCTGGTTGGTCTTCTCCAGAAAGGAGCCAGTGGACCAGCAGCGAAGCAGGAGGAGGGAAAAGCTGCCCTGAGTGTTGTTCAGTTTCTACCCAGGTCAGCATCCTGTTTCTTGACCTCAGATGTCCTTTAACCTCCTGAGGCCCTGGAGACCCAAAGAGGGGGGGACCACGAGAGAGGCGGGGTGGCTGTCCAATGGGTAGGCAGAGCCCAGTGTCCTCACCCCAACCACCACCCAGAAAGCTGTTATCACAGCTGCTTTTGTTTAGGTGCGGCTGGCCTTCTGATCAACATCTGTATAGCTTGTCTCCTGAAGAAACAGCTGTGCTCCACGACTCCCAGTCCCAGTCCTGCCTCCCACAAGCTGAGTGGCCTTGGACATCAGGTAGCCTTCTGAACCTCCATTTCCTCATAAGTCAAATGAGGCCGATGGTCCCGATTTCACAGGGAGCTGGGAAGTCTGACCATGAAATGCTTCCTAAACTGTAAAATTAGGCCCTGGACTAGGCATCTAAATTTGTATTCCTAATTCTTTATTCTTCTCCGAAAGCCTCCAAACTGAACACGCTTTCGGCCTCCCCAAACCCGTACCTGTCCCGGGTGCCCTACAAATGGCCTTGTAGGCCAAAGGGCCTTAAGAAGGACTGCAGGGTCTGATGACACAGGGTCAGAACCCAAGCTCTGTGGACTGACACCGAGCTGAGTTGCTTCACCTTCCCGAAGCTTACTTTCCTAGTTTTAAAACAGGTAGCAACCTGTTCCCTTCAAATTCTCAGGAGGGACCAGCCCCTGGGGTGGGTAAGAGGGTCAGTGAAAATGAGGAATGAGCGTGGGGCCAGACAGGGCAGTGTTTCATTCTGCTGTGCACAGGGCTCGACCCGCCTCGATGGCACCGATCAGTAAGAACTACAAAAATGGAGCTGACATCGCAGAGAGCAAGGTGAGGAGGATGTAATTGGACAAAATGTATCTGTCAGGAACTTCAGTACACATTCTCACTGCGTATCTGCTTAGTGCCTGGCATCTTTCTCATTATTGTTAACAGTGCCCAGATGGGGGCTGGCAGTTGAACTTTAAAAGCGTGGACGCTGAGCAGTGGCTGTCTGGACCCACACAGTGGGAAGCCCTTTAACCCAGGAGCCCTGGTGGTGTCATAGTAGCTCACTGGTCTGCTAACCTGCAGTTTGAAACTACCAGCCGCTCACTGGGAGTCTCTGGAACCCACAGGGGGCAGTTCTACCCTTTCCTACAGGGTCACCCAGGGTCGGAATCCACTTGATGGCAGTGAGTTTGGGTTTTTTGTTTTTGTTAATCAAGAGAAAAGACAGCTCAGAGAAAGATAAGTCTTTGAGCGACAACAAGGAAAACCTGCGTGTGACTTAAAGGCATAGCAAATTATTATTGAGGTGTCTGTACCAGTTAGATCAGCGATTCAGAACCTGTGGGTCGAGACCACTTTGGGGGTCGATTGACCCTTTCACAGGGGTTGCCTAAGACCATTGGAAAACACACATTTCTGGTGGTCTTAGGAACAGAGACACCCCTCCTCTATCTGTCTCCAGGCGGTTCCACTCACCTGCAGATACGCCCACCTAGGGGTACCCAGAGTGAAGATTGTTACCCATGCTACACGCTGCTTCAAGACAAAATGTTACTTGTCATTAGAAATAAATATTTCACAATATATGACATTGTTTTGTGATGAATCACTATGCTTAAGTTATGTTCAATTTGTAACAAGGAAAATACATCCTACCTATCAGATATTTACATGACGATTTAGTCGCAAAATGACAGTGAAGAAGTAGCAGCGAAAATAATGTTATGGTTGGGTGGGGTCACCACCACATGAGGAACTGTCTGAAAGGGTCGCGGCATGAGGAAGGTGGAGAACCACGGAGTTAGATCTTTCTGCGATAACTCAATCTGTGGTCCGGAACACCTACCTCTATGTAGCACCACCCACTGCACACCTGCCTAGCTCAGAGGCCCCTGCCTGGGCGGGAGCAGAGGACCCTTGGGCTGGGCCCTGGAGGCAGGAGTGACCACCTGAGCCCGGTGACTCCAAAGGGACCCATTCCCCACCCCACCCCCCCACCAGTTTTACCTAAGAAGTCCGAGAGAGACAGCTGCAGCCCTGTAGGGCAAATGCTGTCTGGTTGATGAGCAATTAGCGGTCTTTAGACGCTAGCTACCTCGGCTAAGTATCTGTTTAACTTTGCTGCGGGGCCATTCCTGATCTGAGCAGGGTGGGTGGAAGTTAGTCTCGATCCAGGGCCTCCGAGAGGCTGGGTACGTGGAGGAGCGCCCCGAGCCCGCTAGCCCGCGCTGAGACTCAACGTGCGCGGGGCGAGGG